CTAAACATCCTTTTCTCAAAATATCTGCATCAGATTTATAATATTTAATAATTTCGTTATGAAAATCAAAAACTTCGTCTTTACAGAATTATACCATTCATGAAGGATTCTCTTTGATTTGAAGTCATATAATCATAACCATAATAATCTTTAAGTGGATATTTTCCTATATAATTTTGGTTGTAGAGTCATTAGGTCTTTGATGCTGGAAACTTGAGAAATGTGCAGTGCCCTGTCCGGGACTCGAACCCTGGTTCTCTCGAATATGCTTCCAATTACACCACGAAGCCATGTGGAAAGAAGGGAGGAAATATCTTGTATGGTTTTTAGATGTGTTAAATAAAAGAGGAAAATATCATTTAGCTAATTCTTTTAAACCTAATGTTTTCGGAAAATTTCTCAAGGTATACGAGTATAAAATTAGAAGTCAATAAATGTTATGTCATAATTGTCAACTTTCATATAGATGAGTTTATTTCCTTGATAGATAGTAAACACATTAATATTATTTTCAAAACAAAGTTTTCTAAAACTGGAACTCAAATTCTTTTCCATAATGAGCTATTACTCTATAACCTTAAAGTTCTATATCAAATATCTGTTCACAATATTTTTCATCGTCTTTAAATACTTTTTCTTCTCGTGTAAAATCATGATCCCTTACTACATTAACTTTATGAATACCTGTTCTTGATTGCCTTCAAAATTAAAAAACATGTATTTTTCTGTAAATTCTCCACAATAATATTTGTTACGCCAATCATTCAAATATTTAATTTTTTTTATCCGTACATATATTTAAACTGAATTCCGTCATTTTCTTCACGTAATTTACACCATTCTTTATTCTTTTTATGCAAGTACTTACAAGCATGCCTCCTACAACTTTTTTTTCTTTTCATATAACATTAAGGTTCTTTTTAGAATCCATTCTTTACAATTTTTACCTAGGATTTCACCACATTTATTCTCTTTTATATATCTTACCTTTTTTGACATATTTTGCTTACATTTTGAACATTTCCTTAGGTTTTCACGATCCTATTCTCTATTATAATTTTCAAAACATTCTCTACCTTTAAATTATCAAAAACGATCTTTATAGGATGTTTCTTCTTCTTCACAATTACTGATTTTTACAAAATATCTGTTAATTCAGAAGTCAAACAACAAAAATCAGCGTTATACCTACAAAATTTTCACAGGACTAGTTTCGATGGTTTTACCGAACCATCATCTTCAGCTGCAAAACCGCAAATAGCTTTTGCGGTTTTGCAGCTGAAGATGATGGTTCGGTAAAACCATCGAAACTAGTCCTGTGAAAATTTTGTAGGTATAACGCTGATTTTTGTTGTTTGACTTCTGAATTAGTATTTATTCGGCGTGTTATTTTGTCTTAATTAAAATATCTGTTGTATTTTAGAGCACATTTGGGTTCATTTTTTTATCATAACTCACTTTGCAATAATGAGAATAATTATTTTTTCTTAAAAAACCTGTAACGATAACCTGATAGATTTATTAAAGGTTTGGATTTAGAATACTTAAAGCCGGAATTATAGATCTAGCTAACAGATATTATCGTTATTTTTAATCTGACAAATACTTATTTTGTTATCTGCATCTTTTCATTCCATTGTTTTTTAAACGTTTACCTCCTTCTGGTAATTGGACTACTGTAAATTAAAATACACACTCAATTATGTCCAATTCTTTATATTGAGTTTTATGGTTTAAAACATCTGTATATGTCTCAAATGCATTTTTAGTAGACATCATTGGAGGATGAATAATTTTTCTGTATAAATTTCTTAAAATATTGTAATATTGAACATGTTTTAAATCATTTAATACTGCTGCTCTGTCATTTTTATAGGTGTTATATTTTCTTATATATTCTTCATAACATTTTGTAATTTTATAATTTCGTTCGAAATTTTTTTCTAATGTTTTTATTCTCTTTTTAGGTTCAAATTCATTAATATCTTTATTAAACCTCAAATTGTAAGAATCTCGTATTATTAAATTGTTTTTTTTATCTACATATATACCATAAGGATTAAAAAACACTTAATAATCTTTTGGTTTTAGGATGTGCTTTATCTACTAAAGTCTGTAGTTTCTTTATCATATTTCACCTTAGAAGATTCAAATATCTTCTTAATTTCATTACGTTTTTCTGCTTTTTTTTAATAAACCCTTTCTTATTTTTATTTAAATAATTTGCTACATCTAAATTTAATAAATTGGCTAAAACATCGCATATATAACAAATCTGCGAAACATAGTAAATTTAATAAATCTGCTAAACATCGTATTTATATTTACCTATTTTTCTTATATAATTAGCTAATAATTGAATTAAATCATCTTTTTTATAAACACTAGTATATTTACAGTCTTTGGTCTCAGTATATTTTCCATTAATTAAGAAATATTTTTGAAGGAAAATGTTTACGTCAATATGTAGAACTGAAGATTTGGTTGCTATGATAATTACTCTCTACATTACCATTTTTATGGGTGTAAGAATACTTTTGCCACATTCACAATCATATTTTTTTGTTATTAACTTTAGAACTCCAAATTTTAAAAATACTGTGATATTCAAATTTCCCTAAACGGGTTTGAGTATAAAATTCACATAAAGATATTTCAACTTTACAATGACAACAAATTCTTAGGATCTCAAATTATTATGATTTAATCTTTGAAAGCATAAGGAAATTATTCTACATATTTTCATATTTATTTTTCGCTTTATTTTCAAGGGTTTTATCTATTTCGTTAAGAATATCATAATAAGCACAAACGTTTTTATAAAAGTAAATACTTATACATTCTTTCATAAAGGGTCAAGTTTATCAATTTAAGAAAAAACATGTCATCTACTTCTTGAGTTAAAATAATAATATTTTTTTTAGTTTTTTAAAGGAAAATATGTTACTATTATATATCTTTAAAAACATATTTTTAAATTATATTAAAATCGTAATAAAATTCATTTTCTGAACTAATATCATAAATTATTGATATTTTGCTATTTATTTAACGTTTCTTCAGATTCTTCTTTGTCTTCGGAAGCATCAGCTTTGCTGTCTGACCTAGTAGTGCATATTCAATATATTCTAGTGATCTTGTACTGCATATTCAATATCTTCGAAAAAACGTCATTGAACTTTTCATTGGACATTCTTACCTCAGAACTCTAAAATATGCTATTGTTTTAAAAGAATACAGTGCTAAAATTAATCATTCAATTCAAAATTTTTTGACTTTCAATGAAATGACAAATTGAGTCAAAATATCAGTTAACATTTTTTGACAATAGTTTTTGTTTAAAAGCAAATATGTTTTGTATTTTCAAAATTATATCTTTTACATTTTGCTGCTCTAATGCTTGTTCTTCCACCTTGCTCACCCAACTTTTCTTTTGAAGGGGATATATGTAAGATATAACAAAATATGATAGCTGTTTCAAAAAAATAGTTGGCTACCTCAAAATTAACATTCTAAATTTTTTTATCTGCCCCTAAATTCATCTCTTCTCACAGGTTCCAGATTTTTCTATCTTACGTAACGTTTTAATGCAGATACCTCTTGTCCAATCAAATTAATTGTAAACCAAAACTCTGAACTAAAACTTTTCCGCTTCCCAACCTTCTTCCTCTGAACTGCTATGACACTCTCCCTTTTTCGCATAAGCTCACCTGCTGGTAAGACGCTTTTCATCCATGCTGCTGCTTACTTGCTTAAAATGACGTCGTACTTCAAATTAGAACTTATTGTATTCAAATATAATTAGGAAACATCTTGTCTGAAAAAGGATGATTTGATATGCGTAAAGAAATAAAGATCGTGATTTTTCAAGATACGTTGTGCTAAATTGCGTCATCATGCTTTCCACTCTGCCACCTTCAAGCCATTACGGTCTTCTCGGTCATCTACGCAACATCGAAAGCTGTTAAAAGTTCCACTGTTTCATCTACGCATTTTTAAAATCATTACATGTTTTTCAGGATTTGCCCCCTAGACCAGTACTTTTGGGAACATTCGAGCATATTACGTAACCGCTCTTTTAAATAGAGACCTCGCGCCATTTTGCGAGAGAAACCGCTTTCTCTTTCTGCTGTTAAGACCTATGCTGCTACTCTTCTCATCTGCTTCCCTTTGTTCAAATAATATGACGTAGTAAACTTAATCTTATTTTAGTAAAGAATAATGATTTGCCATTAAAATTGAATAAAGATGTGGAATCAAAAGAGCTAACTTCTTCTGTATCATCATGTCATGCCAAGCTTCATTCATGTGCCCAACTGCCAAAACATTACATATATATGTGTGTTTGCTTGCGTACAACTGATAAAATGTGATAGTTTTATTACAATACACTTTTGAGAAAGATGACGTACTAAATTATTAAACATTACTTAGCTGTTAAGTGAATTAAAATTAATTCGCTAATCTTTTTATTGTATTCGAAATCCTATATTCTGCTTTTCTAGTTATGCTGAAACTTTTACGAACAACCCAGTCAATCCAAATTTAAAATACTGTCAAAACTTATTCTTAAACACGAAATATTTTAGTGTTCGAAAAGAAGGAAGAAAGTATGTAGGATATATAAATACTGTGAAAATGGGATAAAAATCATCGTCTATTCTGCTGTACATGAGTTGCGACGTTACATTCTTCGAATGCTTACTTCACCTGGGTTTGAATGTAGCGGTTCTTATTCAGCAATGCATAGCCATTCTGAAAACAGATTTTTCTTCTACTCGTTGGCTTATTTTGACCAACCAGTCCTATACTTTTTCAAAAAATTCAGCTTTGTTAGTGATGGACAGTTATTCACACATGTCTTCTGCTATATGCTGTTTATAGGCTAAAAAAGGGAAAAGTTTGGGTATTACTTTTACCTCATTTTCGGTTTTTCGCTTTATTTCTTTTCCCCAACCTTTGATGAGTACTCACAAAAATTATTTTTCTGTCATTTACAGGCTCATGGAAATCCGTTAACTACAGCTTGGAGGGACTGCAAAGAAAAAGAAAAACCTACGGTAAGATAATACGCATTTTCAGTGAAAGTAAACGTAAATATATACTATGTGTATGCATACCTATCTGTATATATATATATATATATATATATATATATATACACTCTAAATTCGAAAGAGTCCTATCCGACTCTAAAGGAGTAATATCCCACCTCCCTCTAATGCCAAAATGGCACCAACCTCGAAGGAGCGATATTTCACTCTAGTAAAAAGCGGTCCCTTTTCACACAAAAACAGGAGTGACCTTTCTTCGTTCGCTCTTCTTCGATAGTCAGATATCGCCCGATATTCGGGTGAAACCACACACATTACAAGGAGTTATAATAATAGTCTGCTCACTCCTTGATGGTGCGATTTTTATATAATTATTTTATAGGCAATCTAAAAATTGGTATTTGCTATGTAAACTTTATAGCTGATGTATTGTTTTAGATATCTGGTTAATATTATCTCTTGAAAAAATATTTTACACTACTTTTTAATATGCTATTGTGATTTTAATTATCTGATATATATACATCTGTTTCAGATTTGCTACCTATATACTTACTTAAACATTTTTTGGTGATGAGATTTCTTTCCAGATCTAACGAAATATACATATAAAAAAATTACATCCATATTAAAATATTGGAAATTCGGTGTAGTTAACATTCTGAAATACTTAACACTATCACTTTCTCACAGAATATATTTTATTTTACAGAAACATGGCTTTTGCCTTTATGTGTAGTAAGCAATAAAAATAAGAACGTCAATGCAACTTATATATAAAAACTGGATTATGAATCAAAGTAGACCATCACTGAAATAAAAAAACACAGTTTAAAGACAATCATATCTTCATTGTTTAGACATAGTTTTTCTTTCCAAATCTAACGAAATATACATATAAAAAAATTACATCTATATTAAAATATTGGAAATTCGGTGTAGTTAACATTCTGAACACTATCATTTTCTCACAGTACTTCTGATGTGAAATTACTTTGAACTCACAGAATATATTTTATTTTATTACAGAAAATTACAGAAACATGGCTTTTACCTTTATGTGTAGTAAGCAATAAAAATAAGAACGTCAATGCAACTTATATAAAAAACTGGAATAGCAAGATATTCGCAATGAAAAACTTAGTTTTTGAATAAAAAATAAGGTTTTTCAGGTACTTAAAACTTTGAATAAATATTTCAGATATTTTCAAAATTTGATTTGAGAAATCAAAAAAATGCTTAGTTTCATAAAAGAAATTTAAAAAAATCATTTTAGATGATGAATCATATATATATATATAGTGATATACATTCTAAATTTTGTATACATATTTTAATTTAAAAAAAGCAAATTATGCTTATTCACAAGATTTGGGCACGTAATCATGTAAATTGTAAGCTAAATTTTCCATTAAATAATCATACTAGTTGGAAAAGTAATTTATTAAAAATAGTTCTTGAAAAGTAATTTATTAAAAATTTTATAATGAAAATTTGAATGTGTTAGAACAGCTGATCATATATATATATGTGTCAGTAAACCTGTATCATAATCTGATAGATTTAACTTCTTAAAATGCTACTTATAAGTGAATATATTAATACAATTTGTGAATTGATGTTACTAGTAGTTTGTCTACTTGAGCATAATATGCATAAAAAATCGAATAATAAATTTTAATATACATTGAAGTAAGAAACAAATGCGAATTTAATTTCCCTTACATGAAAACTATTCAGCTTTATTTTCAATGTATGAGATTCAGAAAATAAGTAACCATAAAATACTCTCATGCTATTGTTTTTAGCTTCATATATTGCACAAAATATTGCAAAAGAAATGTTTCTATTTCTTATTACATAATTATGAAGAGCTTAAAATTAATTATTACCCCAAATTATGAATAAAGTCTAAAATCTTCAGTTAGCTTGTTACGCTTTCTATTTTTGAGAAGTTATATGCATACAAATTCCTATACATTAATCATTACAGGTGAATAAATGCTTACATATACTTTTAGACTATAACTTATTTTTATATATGCTAATTCCAAGTCTCATTTGGGAAAAATAAGTAAATTTTAAAGTGAAATAATATGGATTATAGCTCACATGTGTAAGCTAAAAATTCATTTTTCATAATTCTGCTGAAAATTATTATGTATTTCATTTATTGATTAAATCCGAATAGGAATCATTACCATAACTGCAGAATTATAATAATTTCAATGAACGAAAGTATTTTAAATATAAGTGAAAACAAGCAATGCATGAAAAAACTCTTTATTAGGAAATATATGTACATATATATACATATATAAAAATGGAAAATATGACAATAAAATGACATTAAAAACATGAAATGTAATGCATGTACAAAATGCAATAAATTCACACTCAAACATGTATTTAAAGAGTCCACACAAGCTCTAGGAGTGCTGACATTATACAAAAGGCTTGCCACAAAATTATAAAAATTTGTTGATGTATGTGCATATTGAACGCTAAATACAAAATTAGTTTTAAATAGAATGTCAAATGCCTTCATGGCATGATTTGGGCATGCTATTAAGTGATTTACTGCTTTAATATAGAATGAACTTGTAATACACACTATAATGGGCTGTTTATTCTGAGCTGGTCCAAGAGATTCCATGTCTTCTATTCCCTGAAAATAAATTTCTTTATTAAGAATACATCCATTACCTATCTATTAGGACAAGTCAAATACCAATGAGCCATACTAGAAAGTTTATCTTTCCAATTAAAAAATATCGCCAGAAAATTTTTTCTTCTTTCAAAAATAAGTAATTTTATTCACATAGAGGTCTTTTGCTTTTAGTTTCTGTAAAAATGCAGTATAAATACATATAGGAATATGTAAATATTATATTGATGCAAATATAGAATAGGAGAGTAATGCATACTGCTATTTGTGCGTTGCTTCTTAATGAAAAATGTAATAAATAATCTACATAAAAATGTAAAATGAACAAACTATATGGAGAATTAGTCTGTCTTTTCCTTATGAAAACAAGTATCATCCCTTCATAATAAACTATTGTTGTTCATAATAAACTATTGTTATTGTAAAGATGTTTGTTCTTGATTTCATGATCGCTATAGTCTGGCTGGAAGTGTATCTTTTGAATTTCACCTTGAAGCAATTTTTCCATCACTTTACAAGTTTAAAAAAAAAAAAAAAATCTATGTTCACTGTATATACATGCATATATATGATTAGTGTCATGCTTTAGATTTAGATCATATAAAGGCATCACACATATTACAAACCATCTTATTCTCTCGAAATATTTGCTAGTATGTAGGTGACATTCAAATCAATGCAATTCCAATTCTACAGAAATTAGCTAAATGACCATGCATCATCTGTGGGTACAATAGTCGAAAGCAGCCTGAGAAGATGAATTTTAGCCACATGAGGCCAAATACATTCACTGTTGTAAAATGGCTCATTTTAATATAATCTGCCCTCTTAAAATGAAAGTTAGTGCAAAGCATATCAAAATTCCTCAATACTTACATTTAGCAAATATTAGAAGTGCAGAATTTGGATTTTTTTTTTTTTTTTTTTTTTTTTTTTTTTCAAATAAAACAGCCTGATGCTAAAATACTTGCTTTGCCTTTACCCTACAAAAATAAAAATAAAAGTATATATAAAAGACATATACTGGATAAAAATTGCATGTGAAATGTAATAATTAATTGAAACTATATAAATATCACACATGAACCTTTCAAGATAGAATATGTAGCAAATTTCAAAGGATATGCAGCTCAGCTCACTTACATATAGTATCAATAGCTTATTTACATATACATACACTGCAAACTAAAAATATTATCCTATGAAAAGAATTTTATAGCTAAGCATATGAAATTATTTTTTATGCATAGACTTATGCCAAATATTTACTCATTAATAATGAATAAAACCTTTTTCCCTCTTTCTTTCCAATAATTTTAGCTGAGCAAAAGTTCTGTGAGCAAAACTAATGCTTTTAGGTCATCTATATATATATATATATATATATATATATATATATATATATTAATACACATGTTTATTACATAATGATTACAAAAATATCATTAAAAAGGCCTTTGGCACTAGAGGCACATGCATTTACAGCTTACCTTTACGAGCCAGAAGAAAAAACTATAAGCCATTTAAGAATAAAGACCAATGTGAGTAATAGATGCAAAATTACTTTACTCTAGGTAATTAAAACAGTAAACAAAGAAAAGTTTTAAAGTATTCTATCATTTATAATCCTAATTAAATTCTATCATTTATAATCCTAGTTAAATTTTTAAAGATTTTTACCACTGAAATCAGCAATACTTGGTACCAGAAGATCAGGGCGTTTTGTTTCCACATATTTCAAAATTCTTGGGACATAAAAAGATGAAAACTGTTTTTTAAATGTCTATCATTAGAAATTGTTTCACTTTCGATATAATTTCTTACATGGCTATTAGACAAAACCATTTCAATTGTTTTTATGACTGAAACATACTGAAATGTTTCTTTTACAATTTTGGTTTCAAATTGACCTGTTTTTGTATTCAGAGCTTGATCCAATCTACTGCCAAGCATAATTTCGACAGGTTCGATAAAATTCTGACAGCTTTTCAAAGCCTTTATTTGTCCTTTAGTTGCTGACATGCCATCAAAAATCTGCCTAATGGGAAGGATGCCTCCGTGGAGGTCTTTGTAAGGCAAACTGGTTCGTATACACGTTACACATGGAGAAAACCACAAAAAAGTCCATGCAGCCAGCTCCTTCATGCGATTCAAACTCTGGACCGAACTACCAGTGCTCAGCGACTTTGCCGCTGGTGGGTAATATTTAGCGGATGTGCATTAATGTTCGGAGAAAAAGCATGATATTAAGCATTTGTAAGTAAACAGCCTGTTAAACATGGTATTTAGGGCATATAAATTAAAATGAGCGCAGGGGCGTAGCTAGAGGGGGCAAGGGGCATCTGTCCCCGGGCGCAGAATCCAAGGGGCGCCAAACTGATGTTACGGCATTTTAGAATTAAATGTTTTCCATCCTTGGCAAGCAGTAGGGGGTGCGAAATCTTCAGCTGTCCCTGGGCGCTGAAAACCCTAGCTACGACTCTGAATGAGCAGCAAGAAATATAATATTAAGCATACGTAAGTAAAATTTACATAAAGTAAATATTAGTTACTGAAATCAATTTGGCCTTCTCCCATTTTCTCAAAATTGTCCCAAAAACTGTTCCGTTAAGAAAATTTTCGGCAACATATTATTTAAGGAAACATTCTTTAAACGCAATTTAATATTTCTTTGACTGTATCTTAACCATTATGCTTAATTTCATGACGAGACAAGTACTCGAGTATGCAGTTTTGTAAATTTTCTTTGCAAACACTTTAAAATCACTTTTAGGAAACATAGCACGGAAATCAGACAAAATAATAATAAATTGAGAAAAAAATGACACATGCAAATAAATTTTGAACAGCAGCGAAAGAAAGCGAGGAGGCCGCAAGAGAATTCTACCAGCTTTGTGCTTTTGCAGCGTTTACATTTACTGGATTCTTTGCGGTAGTGTTTTCGAAGGCAGGTGGAAGGATGGTAACTTTGAACTTCTGCAGTTCATAAAATTTCAGAATGCAGTTCCAAATACTGATATACATCTGTAAATTTTTTTCATGACTGTTGCGAGAAGAATTTTGCAAAGTACAAATGGATTAAAAAACACCTAAGACTGAGAAATTGTACCATACTACTGTCTACAAATCAGCTGATAGAGTAGTAAATCAAACTTTTAGAATACTATCAATGATTTTGTGTATAGGAAAACAAACAAAATAGTACTTTACGGTATTAGAATTAATGTTTTATTTCAAAAATAAACCCAGATATTTTGTTTTTATATATATCATTTTGACATTTTATAGACTTTTTATTGTGCACTGAGCGAGGCAGCAAGAACTCTGGCTACACCTCTAACAGTGTTCGCATAACTTAGTTATTGAAAATGTAAACAAGCTGTGTTACCTGGGTCTTTAAATCCTATCTAAACCAGAAAATGAATTCATATGAGTTTATTAAGATCAGGTTACTTACATTTTTTTCCTACTTTAAAGGACTGTGGATAAGAAAAGGTTTACAAGACTTGTTTGATACAACAATAGCTTTTGCTAATGTAAACAATTATATTATTTTGAACATTAACTTCATCAGATCCTCTCACTCATTTTAATATCACTAGGAGAAGATATAATAACTAATTGAAATGAAAAGGCAATAATCTTGAAAAGTAATAAGTAAATGTCATTAGTTTAACTTTCTAACTATTGAATTGATGTATATGAATTAATCTATGAATCATTTTAGAATTATCATGTTTAAATTAGTATATATTTCGACAATTTTGAAAGTATGCCTGACAAGTTTTCTTAGAAGGGGGAAATAAATAAATAAAAATAACCCGTCGAATTAGGTTTTCTCCCGCAATAGAAGGGAGGGGAAGCTGTTTTTTAATTGTCCATTCTATTATCTGTTAATAAAATAATTTTTTAAATATGATAGGCGCTGCCACAAATATAAGGCAATATTGCTTAATTTTCATATTATAAAATAAAAATGCATCAAACATTTAGGTTTTATGGCTTACATATAAAAAGTCATTTTGTTTCAGTTGAAATAAAAATGTTTAGACATGTACGAATTTTACTATTTAATTAAGTCTGAAAAAAACATGCCTTACATTTTTTAAAAATAAATACTGTTTTTTTTAATTTTCTTATTTGCATTAAAAGAAATAAACATTTGGTGTACATATTATATATTGGCATATACGTATATTTGTCAGTAAATACATATTTAGCATAAAATAAATACATGTATATAGCATATAAAGTCAACTGAATATCTGAAATTTTCAAAAATCCGGACTAGGTATAGTTTTTAATTTAAAACAGAGTAGAAAATAAAATTACCTTTTAGGACATTAACAGCATCTTCGGGAACTTCTTGCAGTTATAAAAATCTGATAATTTTGAACTATCATGTAATGCCTCCTGAAAAAAAAGTATTTTATTGTGCTACAGTTTAAAAGAAAGACAAGGGGCAGATAAATTTGACAATTTGCTGTGGCACAAGTATTAGGAATATAGAACCTATGTAGAATGGACAAGGTACTAAAATTTTATGCTTGGTCTTTGATTGAAAATGAATTCTCATTAAAAAGTTATCTGCATAAATTACCTGGAATATTTAATAATACAATAGTTTTCAGTTTGTCATCAGAAAATCAAAACTTATTATTTTTTTAAAATAGCTGGGTTTTTTTTTTTTTTTTTAGTCCAAAGCGGCAATTCTCCCAGAAGGACTGTTAATTTCGTTTTGGCATTTTGCACCGATTCCCGATATGCTTCATTTCAAATTGCTGCCACCAAACATTATATTTAAAGAAATTAAATAATGAAGAATCTGCATGAATGTATGTATGTTTCTCGCATTGTAATAAAACAACGGTACCTAGAGCCAACAAAATTTGAATAAGGTAATCTTTCCATAGAATATGGGCATGTGGAAGCCCTAATTTGAATTTGAAATTGGTTTATTATTTGCTTTATTATTTAATATTTTGTAATACTTCAACGAATTTTTGATTAACAAAGTAAACGATTTCAAAGCGAGCAATGGCAAGACTGTACGAGTAAAAAAAAAAAAAAAAAAAAAAAAAAAAAAAAAAAAAAAAAAAAAAAATATATATATATATATATATATATATATTCCAGCTCGCGAGACTCTGTATTGGAAATTCTAAAGATATGTTTGTTCATTTTAAAATTATTTTGCGATATTGCTGTTGAATGTTTTTATGGTTTAAGTGCGAAGAACATGATCTTTAATAAATAACGGTAACACACAAAATGTTAAAAAAAACACCCCTTTGGACGTAATTTAAAATCTGAAGCTTTCAGTCTTTTTTAAAGAATACAAGATTTTTTTTAAATCGTAAACGGAAAGCCGTCTTAGCAGCTTTATTGGCCTCCCGGACTTTTGAATGTTCAAGAGGCCTTAGCTACACCTACACTCTCGAGAATAAAAAACATATTTGCAAAAATATAAGTTTTAGAATGCTGATATGACCCAGGTAGTGCTAGTGTTATTTATTTTTGGAAAAATTCAGCTTTGCAACAGTAAGTGAATTTTATTGTCACAAACTATAAGCAGAATTTATAAAAAATGAAAGTTAAAAATCTATTAAAAAAACTACTAGAAGCTGAAAACGATATGACTTCAATAGGAAATTCAGTAAAGTATACGGTTTTTATTTCTTCCAATACTACCAAATAATTTACACACTTTATGTTATAAAAAAAATCAAAACTTTAGTATGCATTTTTTTTTTCCACCGCTGTTCTTCCTATTTGAAATAGGAATGCATGCAAAACTAAATTTAAATAATTAAATTCGATAGCTTTGTGTAAATTGTTCAAAAATAAAAATAATGTTAAGAATTATTTACAAAAAGTACCATCCATACGTACAGCTTTCATTGTGTTAGCAGTACGTAATAAATAAAACTACGTTACAGCATTACACTCTTAAAGCAAATTTACAGACACCTAAAAAAAAAAAAGAGCAAACTAAAACTACTTTTTATTACATACTTCAATTTTGACACATAAATCTAACTATAATTTATTATAATTAAGATATTTATATTAAGAAATAATTGTATATATATTTTAAAAGCGAACTTACTTTTGGCAAAGGAGCTGTATCCATTGTTACGACTGTCCTCGCTTGAAATGGCGCTTAGCCAAAGAACGTTCTTTGGCTTAGCAAACTTGTTTGGTCAGTCGGGGTGGACAATGGCAAGACAGGGGGTCGTCCTGCTCCTTCAATTCACTCCCTTTCCCAAGGTTATTATTGCAAGTGGAAAACATGTTCTGCTACCAAGACAGTAAATTTGCGTTGTTTGACACGAAACGGAGCGAAAACTGCTGTCACCCTCCAAATCCCACTCTGCGAGATTTAGAGTGTATGTGATGTATCAGCTTTAGTCGTAGCTTAAATAATCAGACGATAAGCTTAAAAAACAGGATCCATTTATTATTATTCAGGAAAAATAGCAGTTACAAAAATCAGATATTTGGAGTAAATAAAAAGAATTACTAATAACTTTTTGTATGAAGTTTACTGCATCATGACATTTAAGAAAAAGCCCCGATATTCCTTTTGCGTGTCTTTTTATAGCCTCTGGAAAGGCGGAGCTTCCAAGAAATGACGTCAGCCTCGTCAGCCAATCCAGTTCGCTTTAAATATTTCGAGAACATTCTATAACTGTACGTGTAGAAAAGGCAGGAAAAACAACTTGACTACGGGGCTGTGGATTTAATTCCACGTACTTTCAAATAAGAGAACGTCGCCATTAAAAAATGAAAAGAACATACAGTTAGAATTTTAAGTGTATTCTTGACTAAGGAATTTTATTATTACATATATATATATATATAAACTTTTAAAAAACATATAAAAATATGTTTTTAAAAGTTTGTGTATATATGAGTTAACAGGGAATTAATTGAAATTTGATAACAACATTAATATATTTGAAATATTTTACATAAGTTTTGGAAGAAACTTTTGAAATTCAACATCCAATAATTTAAAGCACAATGTGTTTCCTAGAATTGAAATAGATAGATTAAAAACAGAGTGTTTTTCACAACCGTTTCCTTGTTTTTAATTGTAACTAAATTATCAATTGCTAACTGACCCTCAACTCCAGGGCATGAAAAGCGCAAAGAAATATCTGCTGTGGAAATTTCCAGTAGCAATACTTCAAGAATCTCCCAGTTGCAACTCAAGAAAATGAGAAAAAAATTCTAGACTACTTTCTACTGAGCTGGCTACAGCGTAAGAAATAGGTAACTACATTACATCCGCATGGCAAAGTTAACTGAAGTAGAACATTTAGTAAAGTTAACTGATGAAGACGCAGAGGAAAGCTGGCTCTATTATGTCTGATCTAATATCTATATTTAGTGCTAAGAGTTATTAGATTTTGCAGTAAGAAAATTGAGACCTTTTGTGGATACGATACCAAAGAGAAAACATCACGTCAGTTGAGAGAGGAACTGAGGTAATTCTGCATTCTTACTTAATTGTTAGAAAATACTAAAACCAAAATATTATTAAAACCATTGTTGAAAACGTTATTTTCTCTGTATCTCGCTGTTTGTTGTTTTATGTATTAAAAACGGTTTACTATGCCTACTTGAAAAGAAATTTTACAAAATGGAACGTTTTTTGTACATTTTGACCTAATTATTGAAAATCTGGAAACGCCATTCTAATTTAGTATTTTTCAAAGATTTTAGATCTACTTTCCAATTTTAGGAAGCATTGAACGCTCAGAGCTCTCCCCGTCGGTAAGCCACATCCATATTACTTAAAAGTTTATAAGAGAATTAAAGAATAATGACAAGATTGGATTATTTGAAAATTAATGTAATTTTACAAAATATGTAAGAAAATAGAGAGAAATCACAAGTTTCCAATGTTGAGCTATTTGAACATTAATGAAATTAAGAATAAATGTACAGTCATATTTACTTAAACTACATAAAGGACTAGTAACTAAATTAGTTTAATCAGAAGAATGAACCTGATGAACTTATACTGCATGCCAATATATGTCTACATTTCTGTTAAAATCAGTCTAATATTTCTTTCCTCGATTAAGTACCTGCAGCCGATTTCTTTATTCAGTTACTGAAGCTATTATTGCACTCAACGCGCACTCCGCTAAGACAAAAAGAATGCTTTGAGATATTCATTCCAAAAGATACAATATTCCAAAAGCAAAATATCATGTATTTCCATCTGCTGTAACAATTATTGATATTCAGAACTAAATTTCAATTTCAGCTCTTTATTTGTCCTGAACTCTGTAAATTCTTCTTCTGGGTTCAGAGATTCTTCTGAAATTGCGCCTGAAAATGGACTCAAAAGTCAATTGGTAATATTTATATTAACTAGAAGCCATATCTTTTGAAGAATAAGTTCAGAAATCCTAAATCATATCAAGATTTAAATGCATCTGAGTTACTTTCTTTCTAGGTGACAAATTTAGAAATTGGATGTGCCCTCGCTATTCCAACATTCATTTATACATATGAAGCTTTATCACTAACTCAGGAATTACTCTCTTATGGTTTTATAAGATATTGGTGTTGAATGTTTAATTCATTTTCTTTATAAATAATAAATTTGCACAAATGTTTTAGGCGAAATTAAAGCACACAGTTGGTCTGAGCAAAATATGAACGAAGTCGTAGAAGGAGTAACTGTTTTACAAGGCATCAAGAAAAAACAGCTTTATTTACCTGCACCTCAAATGGAAACAGACGTTAGCAAGCAAGTTATCCTCATACTCAGACTTGTTGCCAGGTAAATATGCATTATTTCTCTTGTTAGACTGTAGCTGTGCTTAAGATGTACGCTTGAAAGGCAAGTTTCTTTTTTCAGAAATTATACATGCTCACATACACTGATTATCGTTAATTAACGAAAAATCACAAAATGATCATTACCCCAAAAGTTACATGTAGAATTCAATGAAACTGACCGACAGTATGCTACACATAGTAAGGTATAAAATAATATGAAAAGAAATTACCAGATAATTATGGTGTTATAGAAATTAGCATATATATATAATGAACAAATCGTATGTGTCGGTGTGGTACAGGAAAATTACCTTCAATATGGAATATGATCTCTCCTAGAAGCAATAGAACATAGTCAGCGATGTGGATGCTGTCAATTATGCAGTCTATCTCTTCTCTAGAAAGTGAGAGTCATTGCTCTTGCAAAGCAATTGCAAGCATGGAAAGGGTCTGAAGGGAAGGGCTCAGATAAGATAGATGTTTTCCTGACTCATCCCAAAAATGCTCGATATTATTCGGGTCCTCAAATCGAGCCAGTCTTTTCATGCGCTGAATTGTTTGTTGCTGAACATAATAGAGCCCTGTACTGACTAACGCTGTCGTCCTGTAGCAGGAAATTATCACCTATTGCCCCGCCATAAAGGCGCACATAAGCATCAATGATGTCATCTCTATAAGCCTGAGAATTCATAATTCCACTTGGTCTGATACGTGGTCCCAAAGAGATACCACCCCAAACAGAGCCACTGCCTTCTCCGTATGCATATCTTTCGGGATGTTTGATGTAGGATAACAGGTTCCAGGTTCTCACCAAATCAAAGAATACTTACTATCGCTTTGGAGGCTAAACATGAATTCAAACGTTAGGAGAACAACCTTCCTTTGATTAGTCGTCCAGTGGACATGTTGACGTGCCCAATTCAAACGTTCTCTTCTATGATGTGACGTGAGTGGCACGCAAATGGCTGGTCACCTCGCTTGCAGACCTCGTGATGAAGTTTTCTAAGCATGCTTGACATTCGCACTAACCTTCTGGTGGCAGCAGCAAGGGAGGATCTGAGTTGAGTTGGAGCTGAGGTTCTATTCCTTCATATGCGTAACAACAATTATCGGTCATCAAAGCTTGTCATAGCAGTTGGCCCTCCTTGGATGCTGATTCTGTGGTTAAATTCTTGCCAAAGTCTATGAACAACAGAAGGACTCATATTTAGTCATTTGGTCTCTTCTGCCTTTGTCCTGCCTCTATAGCCTCCCAATATCTCTCCATCGCAGTTCTTCGGGCAAATGATGCCTGGAGGTCATTGTAACTTGACTATCCCCGATTTCTCATCTCAATATCACAGCGAATTTTGTAGGCTTCCTCTAAAATGTGCAATTTTATGCTCCTCGCAGATGGTCTATTCCGATTGTTGCGCCACTAATTTTCATACTACAGTTTTATTCAGCAATTCTTATTTGGCAACATTTTCAAATTTAATACGGATTGGCTTATTTTTGAATGAGTTGTCGCTATGTTTGTCATTTTTTCTCAAGTTCTGGAAACTAGTCTATTTTACATATTTTACTGATTTACATTATAATTGTCGGCAATTACATATTTTACCTTAAATTGTTAACTTGGTGCTTTTGACTGAAGCTTGCTTCCATTATTAATAAAGTGAAATTTGTTGCTGCGCTACAGGAAATGCAAAATATTTTAAATGTAACTATTTATTAATAAGCTTATTATTATATGTAAAGTGGTTTTTTTTCTCTTTTTTGAGAACCCAAACAAGAAAGCATATTGAAATTTTCTATGTGTAAATTATTATTTCGCTTGTTTTACACACAAGGAACACTTCTTTTAACATCATTACAGTATTGTCCCTGCCGATGTTAAAATGCATGAGTCATTTTCTATAATTTTAAAAGAAACAGACAAACTAATATTATCATATTTATAAACTATGAAAAACAGAATATTTTGGTTAACTTATCCATACACTTTAAAGGAGAAATTTTGATAAAATAATCGCATTCTTAGTTACTTTAATTGACCGAGAAAATTCTTACTTTTACAAGATAAGTTTGATTTCATCTCTGCGTTAATAAGCAGAGGAGGTACAGTGGAGAGAAATGGAAATGTGCGTTTAAATGTCCATTCAGAGGGGTTGAAAAATATGTCAGAATTAATTTAAAGAGCTAATTTTTGAAATTATGCTTCAAACATGATAATACACTAAAATTTTGAGCTAACAGTATTAATTTAAAAAACAAATATCAAATAGTAATATACTGAACAGATTCAGAAGCGTGTCGAATCTAATCCTGGAATGAAATGGTGGAAAATTAACAAATGTATTTATTGATCAACTGCAAAATTACTGTATGATTTGTATTCGCAGCAAATATCATTAATTTGCAATATATGCAGTGTTCATTAATCATAGCAATGTTAATTTTTGTTCGAATATAAAGCAGCTGAAACAAGATTAGTACTAAGCCCTGACAGCTTGTATGGATTTTTACAAACTGCAGTATATGCGATAAAATGCAGGAATATGTCCAGGGCATGGTCAAAGTAGATCGTGAGCACAGTAAATGTGAGCTAGGTTAAATAATCGCAACTAGTCATGCGAAGCTACCGTCTTTATAAAAGCTTATACCGCATGACATTGTTGTTGAACGATTAATTAAATATACGCGTAATAACTATTCTGTAATTCAGTGGGCTTTAAAGGATATTTAGACAGTTTTGAAATTGTTGATATTCATCATGACGCTTATTTACAGCTTATTAGATCATATTTTACAACTGGATGAAGGATAATTTAACTAATTCTAGCGTCCTTTACTACTTGGAGTAAAAATTAAAAGGAAAAAAAATAGTTTCGCCAAAAGAGGAAAAATTGTTACATAGAATCAAAAGGAGAATAGAGACCAGATTTCCGCAACTTATGACCCACTAGTCACCGAGTGAGCCATTTCATAACTACATTTGACCCATTTGAATTCCGAAAATTTTCGGAATTCAAATGTAATAGAGTCTCACTCTTTTTGTAACATACACTAAGTCAAGACTTTAAGTAGACTAAGTGTCTTATCGCTACGTCTAGAATGCAAACAGAAAGGTAAGAAGGATGTGAAAGACCCTTTTATTAAGAACTCAAATAGCTGAACAGAAGGAACTCCTGGTGTTTTCAAAACCAGCCATCATTTATTAAACTCAAAAAGTAGAAGCGAAATGTCAATTGAGGAAAAGGCCACGTAGAAATTTTTAACGCGCAATGTGGATCAAACATACACCGGCGTGATAGCATTATTGGCACGAATACATAACGCCGTACACAGGAAACGCTTGTCTTAAGATAGCATGCCAGTAACTTGGCCTTCAGCACGCTGAATACTCTTTGACTAAAGCAATCTCAAACCCTCACTTAAATACGCGCGAAATTTAAAATTTTCTGGCAGGAAAACGGAAAGGGAGAAAGTGACATTAAAGATGCGAAACAAAAAATATCATGTTAATTAAAATAAATTAATACATTACAAACTGTAATATAAAAAATTATAAAACATAAATATGAATCGAGCACTTGGAGAATATATAAAAAAAATCTGATGTGTACACCACATGACTTCCTTGTACGGAATATTAAATTATACGCATTTTTTCTTGTTTTTCATTTAAACTTATTGGATTAAATTAAATGTACTTCGCCGACAGCGCATAAACCACAATAGAATAAATGCATTCTTTAAAATTCACTCTAGTATTGGTTTACCATAGCGACACTCTGGCGCTAGATTCACTTAACAGTATTATATTTCGTTTATATTATAACTCATAATGCACAAAATTTATATTATTTAAAGAATAGAATTATCTGATCGTTGCCACATGTTCTATTCAAATACTATAATAAAGCTAGAACGATGTATAAAAGAAATTAAGAAAACAAAACAAAAAAGAAACAGTTTTTCATAGACGACTGAGTATTTCTCATTCAATTAATTAAGTTCTCACTTCGCGAGAAAGCAAAAATACATAAAAACTCAAAATATCTATATTAAAAAGTACGAAGTAAATCTGAAACGCTTATTTCCTCGAAAAAATTCCAGAAAGAATTAAGCATGATTTAATTGGCAATAATAAATTAATGCATTATCTTTGTTGTTGCGAAGCTAAGTTTTTCTAGATTGGCAACAAATCCACTAGTCTCCTGTTTCAAATGTAAACATCAATGGCCACCATTAAAAACAGGCTTAGCGGCAATTAAACAACTTTAAAATTGCTGATAATTCTAAAAATATTGCACACAGATTTACTAAAGGCGTAAAATCCTTAACCGGAAGATAAAAACAACATAATTCAATCATTTTTATAGCAAAAAATGTACAATTTACAAACATATAAGAGTAAAGAAACCGAGATCACTGAGCCGGGTAATAGAGTGGATATATATATAAATATATTTATATACATTTGTTGCGGCCGATTGCAACCAAAATACGAGGTGCACATCTACATGTTATAGCAGTCCTATATACAAAATTTCAACGTTCTGAGGCTACTCGTTTTTGAGTTATGCGAGATACGTTTGTACGCACGCACGTACGTACATACGCTCGTACAGACGCCACGAAAAATTCTCTTCAGAATTCATTTTAAAGCAGTTTTATAATTTGTTTGGAGGAAAAGAGTCTTTTATTCTGTCTTTACGTACAGATATCACGCAAAAACATCGTTAAATTGCATTCGATAGCTGTCAAAATGGATATTTTCGTTGAAATATCCTGCCTAAAACTTTCCGCGATTACAATATTTCTTTTTTACTTCGTACAAAGAAGTAATAAGCCGAAAATCACTAAAAACATTAACGTATTTGTTTGATTATAAAGTTGTGGTTACGAATATTCATTTTTTAAAATTGAGGTCTTGTTAAAATAGGATCTGTACACATTTGATTCATCATTTGATTGATTCATCCTGGATTTGTTCCTGTTATCGGAACAAATAAG